ACCACCTTCAATTTCTTGCCAGTCTCCCTTTCAACCATAGCATGGAATTCTTTAAAGGATTGGGGTACCTGGTCTTTAGTCTTCAACAAATATACCCACACTTTGCGGGAATGGTCATCAATAAATGAAACAAAATACTGAGCTCCTCCAAGAGATTTCTCCGACATGGAGCAAACATCAGTATGGACGAGGTCAAGAATATTCCTTCGTCTTCTTGGTTGATCCGGTCTCGCAAAAGAAACCCGGTGCTGCTTTCCAGCTAGGCAGTGCGTGCAACTCTCCAACGCTTGGCCTTTCAACCCGGTCAATAATCCTTTCTTGTTCAGGATCTGTAGCCCTTTCTCGCTCATGTGGCCGAGGCGCTTGTGCCATAGCTCCAAGCTAGGTTCATCTCGAACAGAATTGGCTTCTCCGCCACTGATTTTTCCTTGCATCACGTACAAGGAGCCTTCCTTCTTACCTCGGGCCACTACCAAGTTTCCCTTGGCCAGCTTCCATCTCAAACTACCGAAGTAGTTCACTAACCCGGCATCATCAAGTTTGCCTACCGAGATTAGGTTCAAACGCATGCCAGGAACATGCCTTACATCTTTCAACACAAGTCGGCATCTGACATCTGTGGTCAGAGTTACATCACCGACACCAACAATCTTGCTGGTCACCTGATTTCCCATCTTCACGACTCCAAAATCACCACCTCGATAAGAGGAGAAAAAACCTTTGTGTGGAGTAACGTGGATGGAGGCACCGGAGTCAACAATCCAGGTGCAGTCATCATAATCAACATTCAAATAATTATCCTCACCAAGGAGGAATATCTCAGCATCAGGGTTTGCAGCCACCGCAGTGGTGCTCTTGTCTTCCCTCTTCTTGGGAATAATCTGATCCGGCTTCACAGAGCCGTTCTTCTCATCATTCTGTAGGGTCCAGCAGTCTGGCTTCTTATGGCCTATCTTTCCACAGTAAAAGCACTTCAACTCATATTTCGGCTTTGACCGACCTCTGGACTTGTCTCGTCTGTCATGACCTCTACCGCGACTCTTACTTCTACCACGGGAGTCAGATTTCCCTTTATTCTCAGCAACGTTGGCCTCAGACGTACTTGAAGTACCTCGTTCTCTTCTCCTGGATTCTTCGCCCAGGAGGCTGTCTGTCACGACATCCATCTTCAATTTTCCATCTGGAGTCGAGTTATTCAGGGTCACCACCAGAGTATCCCAGCTTTCTGGCAGCGAACTCAATAGCAGCAATGCCTGCAATCCTTCATCAATTTTCATATCAGCCTTTGACAGCTGATTCACAATACCTTTGTAGGTGTTCAGGTGTTCAATCATGCTCATGCCGTCCTTATATTCAAGCTTAACAAGTCGGCGAACCAGGTGTACTTTGTTCCTGGGAGTCTTCTTCTGAATAATGGACTCTAATTTCGTCCACAACTCATACGCGTTTGTGAATTCGGACACGTGCTCAAAGAGGCTTTTATCAATATATTTCCTGATCGTGGCTACCGCCTTCCGACTCAGGATCTCCCACTCCTTATCTGTCTTGCCTGCTGGTCTCTCATCAAGGATAATGGGCTCATGCAAATCTTTGCAGTAGAGATGATCTTCCATCATCGGTCTCCAATATGTGAAATTGTCTGCGGTCAACTTGAACATATCTCCATCATGAGTTATGCCACTGGTCTCCATCTCGTCTCCCTTAGAACCCGTCGAACTCGGGCTCTGATACCACTGTTGGGAAAACTCGGTTCCCTCAGATCGGCTCAGGGGCCTTTGGCGGAAGTCAATCAACAAGATCCTGATCTCGGATCTCGGCAATACCTCGGCCTGAACTTCACCAGGTCGGGTAGCGCAGCGGAAAAATCAAAACGAAAACAGGAGAGAGAGAAGAAGAACACAACTAGATTTAACGTGGGAAAACCTTTTCCAATGAAGAAGTAAAAACCCACGGGACCTAGTCCAGATCAGAAATCCACTATGAAAATAATGGTTACAACGAATCAAATACACAAATGTGGTGGTTAACTCATCCTCTCCAGCAATGGTGATAATCAAACTACCCTAGAGATGTTTCACTCAAACTCTCTCTAGAGATCTCTCAAATGCAGAGCATAAAGCTTTGCTCAAACAATCAAATAATTTTTCTCTCAAATCTGACCTAGCCTCCACCCACAACTAATGAGTATTTATAGAGGAGGTGGAAATTAGGGTTAGGGTTTTTAGGAAACCCCTCAAATGGGCTTGGGCTTAGCATTGAAGGAGGAAGCCCAACATATTGTATAGTTGAATATTTATTATATCAATGATTCATAGACAAAAAAATTATTGTTCGAAAAAAGTATATAGTAAAAATTAGTGCTCATATTAGTCATCATTTATAACATATATATGAATGTGGTGCACATGTGATGATGAGTAAAAATTAATCATGTCTAAGATTTGTGTGAAAAGTCAAAGTTCAAATGGTTAAGTAAATGATGGCAAAAGTTGGCTTACTTAATCGATCTTTTAATATTAATTATATGATTTATTTAGTGGACATTTTAAGGTTGCTGATCTACTAATTAAGGCCCAACCAGTGAAAGGCACAAGGAGCCCAACAACGATGACTTCCATGGTAAGAAAACACGCCGCATGCCATGATAATCTCGTCAACACTCTAACACACGGTATCAGTTGATTAATTCATTGTGGCTACAAGATATGAGCAGTTCAGGTTCTACAATCTTCTTAATAGTCAATGGCTAAGGCTCAAGCACATGCATACAGCTATATCTACGGGACATAGCCTGATATTAAGTATTTTGTACACAGGATCACTTGCAAAGGCCGCTTCTTCCCACAAACAAGAATGAATATTGCCACACTAAAGCGGCATAACTAGGAATACCAGAAAAATCCTATATAGTGAGGGAATTATTATGTAAATTCCGTCTCTAATTTCATCCTCGCTACTACTTTCCCTCTCAAATTCTCTCGCAAAATTATTTGCGAGGGAATTTGCGAGAAAAAGTAGTAGCGATGATGAAATTAGCGACGGAATTTGCATAGCAATTCCCTCGCTATACAGGATTTTTCTAGTAGTTTCAACCATAATATGAACAGATCGCACTAAGTCTAGGTATGATAATCTTTTCATTCAGACTTAACTACATAGACTCTTATTGACTTTAACGTCGGAGTGTTTTACAGGTACCTCTCCCCCGTCATTCCAATCAATATCACAAATCATAGGGGCATTCCCCATCTCGCAGGGCATCGCGCTATACAGCCAAACATCCCATAGGAGCTCCATCCCGCATACCTAGCCCCAACGAAATCCCATATACCTAATGGACCAAAACTCAACCGTATATGATCCAGCTTAATAATTATTGGAATTTCAGTTCCCTTACTCAATTGATGTTGTAATGTCAAATACATGACCTGAGTTTGAATTTATAGTATTTGTTGTTAGCCAACGACACACCTAGAAATATGTGTGCATAGTTTTTTAAGCTTTATTTTTGATAATATTAAAATTTTATATTTTTATTTTAATTATTTTCTTATTTTTTCATTTTTAATGCTGATTAGATTGTAATAAATATAATTATATTGTAATAAATTATTCTTAAAAAATACATTGAAACAAATTATTTTTTCTTTTATTTTTTTAGGCATATTTAAGTTTGGTTGGTTTTTAATTAACCTATAAAAGATTATTTAAACTTCTATTGATATTTGTTAAATTTCTAAAATATTTTTTTTCGAGAACTAGTGTTTATATATATCTCAGTTCGTCTGTTTAACTTATTTTCTCTGTATTTTGACATTAGATAAATTATATATACTTACAAAAAAATTTCCTAAGATTTATAGTTTGTGTTAGTTCGGAAATGTAGAGAACATCTCATTATCTTAAATTTTTTTAGAAAAAAGGTTAAACTGACCCATAACCAACCTAAAACAAAAAATAAAATAAAAATAAATCCCGTGTACAATCCACGATCAAAATAAAAGAGTATTGATATGCTTAGGTAATAAAATTACTACATGATATTGTTAATCAGTGAGAGATTGCATCATTTATAGGTAACTTTTCTTTAATGCTTGGTTTGCTAAGTAAAAATATAAAGAAATTCTTGAATAAATTTTGCATGAACAAGGTCTACACAAGAGTATATCATTTTAGTACATACCACATAGATTTTTCAATCCACCAACCCTGTTCCCCCACCTGTCCCATCCTATTTTGTTTCGGCCATTCGTCAGTCCAAAAGTAAAAGTTAAAGTACGGAAGGGTACATAACTAATAGGATTGAGTGTGTGTTGTTTTAAAGGATGTAAATTATAATCTTTTAGTGATTTATATAAAGTTTGACCGGTCATATTTTGTGTAAATATGAAAAGTTACTTTTTCTTTTTTTACTATACACATCAGTGAAGTGACTGGGTAGAGAAAAAAAAAATAACTTTTTAAATTTACATAAAATCTAACTCACCTAAAAAGATACAAACTTATGTGGTTTTTAAAGAATACTTCTTTTTTTCCAAGTAATAATACGATTTTAGATTTTCAATTGTAGATTTAAAAAAGTAAACTGCATGCAAGCACGCAGCTTAGGTCTTTCGCATTGTAACAATGTTATTAAATTTGAATCTGGAATCGGTGGAAATTATATATTAATTGATCACAGGTTCAATCACTAAGTGAATAAACTAAATTTATATAATAATGTAGTTTGTTTTATACAGTGTTCAGCTAATTATGTGACTAATTTTATGTGTGTAAAGCTACATGACTGACATGCAAAGACACATCATGTATTAACTTAATATATCATTAAAAAAGCGAATCCATGTAAAGCGCAATACACATTAAAATGTGGGATAAAGTAGCACACAGAGTTGAAGTTTTGGACAGTAGCTAGGAAAACTACAGAGAGAATTTAAATGCGAGATTGTGTCTCAACCTCTTATAAAAAGCAAAGTAGCAGAATAGAATCTATTTGTTGGTTAGCTTAAGGTTTGTGGTTTGGAGGATAGCAACCACGTGGTGAAGTTTGGCAGTGTAGCTTCGTCTGCCCTGTAGTACTTTTGTGTGAATTCAAGCAAATCCGACCATGTAAAATCTGGATACTGTTTCGTCCCGTCCCTTCGAACAATATCTTCTGGTGGTTTCACCACCTTGTCTTCTTTGGGGCATAGAAAAAATGCCAAAGACCTTCTCTCCTTATACTGGTTAACCACTGCCCTATGAAGGCAACTCTTGTATCTCCCATTAGATAATGCCTGCACAACCGACAAATATAAGTTAAGTTTCATGCACACCTTAAATGATTCCTTGTCTAAGAAGATACGAACAAATTTCAAATTATTCACCGCAGTAAATAAAGTACATATATACATGCACGCCAATTAACCGGTTTCCATTAGATAGCTGCAACCTTTATATACTCTTGATCACTTCCTAGTTTTATCCCCTTGTTATATATGTAAGCCGGCATCTTTGTGTAGCTCTTCTAAGTTCTAAGTATGACATTAAGTAGTTCTTTTCTTTAAATTAAGTTTCAATTAGGCTCTCATTTTATTTCTTAATTTTAGAATTTTGGGTAAATAATAAAAGATAGAAACGATAAACGTTGCTTACTAGTTCTTTCTATCCCTCATTTTTAAGGACCAGGAGAAGGGAGGGGTATGGTACTACTGAGGCCTCAAGGCTATGTATGAAATCAGAAAATTGTGCCATAAAATGATGAGTTTGAGGTCATTGTTGGAAATTATAGAAATAGCTATTCATAGAATCATAGCTATTATAATGTAGAACCAAGCTAATAAGCACAAGATTCAAGACGATGTTATGAATTTAGACAAAGAGAGAACAAATCCTCGATACATAGGTACATCCTTAATAAAAAAGAAAAAAAATAGAGATACGAAAGAAAATAATCATAAAAGTACAGATAATATAAATATTTTTTTTTTATATTTAGCAAAGGGTGTATCAAGTGGTCGGTACATCCGTAGTACTGAAAATATTTTCACAAAGAGGAGAAATATATATATTTATATATGGAAAATTGGGTGTCCAGTCACTGGATATAAGATTGTGTTCAGTCACCGCATTATAATTATGAATTCCTGGAAATACATAATTACAATATTAAAGTTATATTTTTTTTTCTCTTCAGCTGATGTGAAAATTGAAAAAAAGTGCAACTTTAATATTATAACTATTTATTTCCCGGAATACATAGTTATAATGCGATGATTGAACAAAATTTTATATCCAATATATATATATATATATATATATATATATATATATATATATATATATATATATATAGTGTGTGTGTGTGTTTGTACACATATATACATATGTGTGTGTAGGATCGATAGGTGTATGGTTATGATTCTCCACATTTAATTTTTTCATTCTTTGTATGGTTATGATTCCCCGCATTTAATGCTTTCAAGTATATATATGGCAAATATTTAATTGCTGCACGTACAGCTGCAGAAATGTAAACTCCATATATACATATATATAGTAAGACTTTTAAGTCTTACTCCCCATCTCAGTCGTTGATAGACGAAAATCAACGGTTGTCATTTATAGTGTAATTAATAATTGATTAATTAATATAACTTCTTAAACTATAATTGTTGGATGGACGGAAATTAATGGCTAGGATGAGAGTTGTGGAGTCAAATGATCTCTGATATATATATATATATATATATATATATATATATATATATATATATATATATATATATATATATAGTTATATCAACGAATGAAAGAGTTCTTCCCGCAACCAGAATTAAAGTAGTTCATCTAAAAGTGAAGAAGAACAACATTTTAATATCAAGAAATTGAAATGAAGTCAATTTTTGGTAGCATCTTGATACCAGTACAAATAATCATGAGTGACGACAAAAAATTATTTACCAACTTTGCTGAGAGTGATAGAGGTCAAATTGACTTTGGAGACGATAAAAAGGTGCAAATTGAAGATTATTTCCATATCTTACTGAACTTGACCAGTGAGTGTATTCCGACATATATGAATAATTTGGAAATTATTAATTTACAAAAATGTCATTTCAACATTATATCTTTACTATAACTTTTTTTTTTTAAAAAAAAGAAGAAAAAAAAGAATCAAAGCAACCTCACTTTTCTCCTTTTCCTCTTTCTCTATTTTAGCCAAAAACACATAAATGTAAAGATGAACAAAAGATTTTAGGTGTAGGCCTTAACATATGCCGTCCATTAATGGTGCTTAATTATAGCTAACTTGGCTCCTTATATCTTCTCTTTCTCGCCTGCTATCTAGAGATAAACAATTTTGACTCAATCACCGGATTTGTCACGTTCTAACAAACACTAATTAAGGTCATGTGTCTGCTCATTTAGAAAGAAAAAAAAAAAAAAAATACTCTTGAAGTATTACACCCAATTATTGGTATTTAATTTAAATATTATATAACGTTTTAAATTTAATCCATCAACAGAATATAACTTTAACAAACAATGTAAATTATACAAGATCGATTATTAGATTATAGTCCCAAAGTAATATAATAATAAAGGAAATATAAACAGTTATATGTATGGATATTGAGGGCCTACCGTGAAGGTATCTCCAATGTTAACTACAAGGGTGTCAGGACGAGGTTTAACCGTCTGCCATTTGTTGTCTGAAAATACATCAAGCCCTCCAACTTGATCTTGGTGAAGAATGGTTATAGACGTTGGGTCACAATGTGGTCCTGTTCCGAGTGCAAGTCTTGGTTGTTTGCAAGATGGGTAATAGTTGCATCTCATGATGGAGCAACCATCTTCAAACAAGTCCCTGAAATGCATTCTATCCACGCCTAAGCTTATTGCTAATAGCTCCGTCAGCTTCACCCCCAACTGCTTCATAGCTTTACAGTACTTCTGGAATGTTACTCTATGCATTGAATTCACAATATATTAATTAACAAAGTGTAATAGTATATATATAGTTAGTGATGATCACGTACGAGTTGTCTTTCAATTCCATGAAAAGACAAGCCAAAATAATAAAATAAACTTGTTATAATTAATTAAAAAATTCACATTATTAATTAATTGATTGTCTTACCCAGCTTCTTCAAACTCTTCTCCTAAGGTGGAGTTAAAGTAGTTTGTGACAACAGGCTCTAAGGTGTTGTCATGGTATGGGAAAGAGAGGGTTTCCTTCCATGGGAGTTTGGAGGAGAATCGGTCAGCATGAGCACCAGAATAGCCCCACATGGAACCGGGTGTTTTAGAAATGCTCAATTTCTTGTGAATTGGGAGTTTGAAAAAAGTGTCCATTTGCTTATATGCATCGCTAATGAGGTGTGGATCAACACCGTGGTTGATCACTTGGAAGAAACCATGGTTCAAGCAAGCTCCAGTTATGAGCTTAGCTGCATGTTGTGTGTTCTCATCGTTCCCTTTGAGAAACCCATCAAGATCCACCAATGGTGCTTGGAGCTCTTCATGGGCGTCCACTAGGTACTCCTTTGGCCAAATGAAATTTGATGGCACTTCGGGATGCCCTTGAAGTTCAGACAACAAGAGATATGAATCCATCTCACCTTAATTATGTAGTTTCAATCGATCAAGGAAAGAACTCTTAACACAAAAACTAATAATTAAGTAGTGAGCTTAGAGTTTGGGATAGGCAAATATGGCAAGGTATATGGGATGTATTTATAGAGTTAAGAGATAGAATAATCAGTAGCTAGCCAGCAACGAACAACAAAACCTTTGAGTGGAATCAATACTTTTTCAACGAAACAAAATCAATTCTTTTTTTTCTTTTTTTTTTAAAAAAAAATCTTTCACTTGGTATTCCACTCATATTACTGAGAGATAAATCCCACAGCCATCGTTGTACGTGTCTGGTTAACTATCCTGCCTAGACACCGACACAGGATACGAGATATGACACTTCAATACGTTAATTCTAAAAAATATTAAATTTTGACACATTAGAATACGTTTTGATATTAAATAATATTTTTAATTTATATAATGTATATTATATTTAATATTCAATAATTTAACAAAAAAATAAAACGAAATTTACAATACCCATCAATTTTGCAAAAAAACATAAGATATCCCAAATATATTAAACTCAATAAAATGATAATCATAATCCAACGAATCTAATAGTTAAAACTAAAAACGCAAAGCAACGCAAACTTTGAACCCTTTTTGAGTCTATGCAATGCATGTTAAAGTGCTGGAAAATGTCAGAGTGTCGATGAATGTCGGAAAATGTAAGACAAGACATGTCAGGATTTTTAAAACGTTGGTGCATGATAGCTGGTTACTAATGCCCTCCCAGTAACAATGTTAGAGCTGGGGAAAATAAGATTTACATCGGTGTCACGTTATTTGGGTTGGGGGACTTTGGATTTTGTTAAAAAAAAAAAAGGGTTAGCTGCACATCATTTTTTTTTCCATACTTTTATATATTTACACCACATTGAACGTGTGTTTATATTTTTGTAAACTTAAATCTATGACATTGAGGCTCTTCAAATAGCGTAACTCAAGTATTACATTAATAAAATTGACAAAGTCACAATTGTACGAATGTTAAATTACTTTGTAAAATATTAATAACTAATAAGGATTTATAAATGGAAAAAATGTTTTTCATTTTAAAGAATAGTCATATTAATTAAAGTTAGTATTTATTATTTAAAATTTAATTTAAAAAAAACTCCATTTCCCCCATATATCTCTTTCTCTCACTTGAAAAGAGACAATTCTATATCGTTTAAAAAGATAAACATCAAATCTTTTATAAATTAATTTATGTTTTATATTATATTTCAAACATATTAATTTCTTTACACAAGAATTTATTGAATTTCAAAAGGTGGACAATCAATGCACAGACCATCAATCTGTATTAAAACATTTCATAATATTAATATATTCATTATAAGAATAGGTATGGCAAAGATCAAACTCTAAGGGGGTGTTTAGTAGAGGATATATATTTTTTTACTAGGTAAATACATTTACCAGGAATATAATTGGAAAATGAGTTTGGTAGAAAAATTTAAAAAAAGTAATATGGTTGGTGGCCGAAATATTACCAGAAAATGGGTTAAGTTTTGTGATTCTGTGTTTGGTTGAAGTTAAAATATTGATGGAAAATAGAATGAAATGACGAAAATAACCTTATAATTAAATTTTGTATACAGATGTACTCTAATCAGAAGGTAATATTGTTACTTTGCATGACCACTTCCCCCATTTACCCAGTTTTATTTTGAAATACCACATTGCAAGTGGTAAACTTGCACAATGTTCCTCTTTGCTTTTTTCACACAAATCATGATTTCTACGTAACACCGTTGGATGGAAAAAAATCTTAAAACACTTGTACCAAATGAGGACAACATTGAAATCCAATGATGAATGCCTAGGTATATTTTCATAAAACCTGAAACAAACACTACCAAATCACTCAATCATAAAAACCCTAAACAATCAACTCTCACAATTTTTTATTATAAAAATTCATATATGATGACAATTTCCACGAATGTTTAATTAATAAAATATTAACAAAAATTTATAAATCACTTTATATTTTACGTTAAGGATTAACACTTCTCCTGTAACATGAGATAAAATTATCTCTTGCAACCCCATGACATCATTTTGAGATTTATGAATAAAAATAAAAGGTATTTTAATAAAATTCATGTTATAAGATGAAAGTAAAATAAATAATTTTCAAAATACCCTTCAATTTTATTCTTACAGGAGATAGAGTTTTCTTCTACAAGAGAAACACTTTTTCTTTTATATTATGGGGAAAACAAGTATAATGTTATAGGACAATCTTTTTGTCATGCTATAGAGACAACAATGTGGGGTCCATTATTAAAAAAAAATGCAGCAAAAATAATGATGTATGTGGAGAAACTCAACTTTTGTCATGCAACATAACAAATGCAAAACTCTTATATTATATGAAAAAATGTATCTAATGTTATTTTAGACAATTTTATCTAATGTATACCAAAAAAACGTTGTTTTGAGATTAAAAATTTAAAATGATCAAGATTATTATAACCTGAAATAAATTAAAATTACAAATACACTATGATTTTCGCCCAAAAATGATATCTTTTCGATAAATATTAGACAAAATTGTCTCAAGTAACTTTAAAAAAAAAACACCTGACCAAAAAAAAAAAATTAAAAAAAACGAACCCATATTATATTCCTAACATATAAATGTAAAAGACAACATTTTTTGTTGTTTGCGCATTTAATTATAAAGTATGTAATTAGTAAGTGTCACTATTCAAACTATCTCCCATTGTCTCAAAATTAATTATATATATCTTTCTTATAATTTTTAATGTTTTTTAATATATTTCTCTTTTATTTTTATATTTTTAAATTTTATCTGAAATTAAAAAAATTTAAACTACCTCCCAATCACCCCATGCCTATTCAATATTGCTCTCTATATTATTTATGTATATCTTTCTTATAATTTTTTTTATTTTTACCTTTTAGTTTTAATTTTTAAAATTTTTATATAAATTTAAAAAATTTATAATGCATTTAATACATACTGCTTTAGTGAAATTTTGTATATATAAAGTAAAAATTAATTTTTGCAGCACAACTTTCAATTAATATTTGTTGTAACCTTCAGCCAAGACATTCTGTGAGAATAGGTAAGAAAGCAGATTCCACTTTCACTGACAAGTGACAACTTAATTTTTTAGAAAACAAATATAGAAGCGGCTATTTAAAAATCTTTTTTATTTTTTAAGGTTGATGCTAAATAATATCCTTAAGATAAGGAAACTTTGGTATTTTATAGAATCTGAACAAGCATGCCTACCTCCCAGTCACCCCATGCCTATTTTATATTCGTCTCTAAACTTTTCTACCCAAATTGAAGATATATATAACTGAAAAGTTTCAAGGATCTTCCGATAACAAACAAGATTGTTTTTCATCCAAAAGGCTAAAACAATATTAAAGATGCGGGTAACTAAAAAACAAAAGCAAGGGTTATAAGAAGCATGAAAGTGACCAGTACTTTAGAAAAGTAGTATGAAAGTCATCCATATATCACTACAAGAAAAATTGTATATTGCGACGGAATATCTGAGGCGGTCTTGAGAGAACTGCCTCCAAATTATTTTCAGAGACGATCACGGAGGCGTTTTAGTAAACCGACTGAAAATTAGGATATTACTCAGGTGGTTTCCTTGTAACCGCCTGCATTCATTGAATACACAGGCGGTCTTATAGGCGTTTATAAAATTAGCCTGAAAATTATTTAATTCACAGGTGGTTATAAGACAAAATTAGCTTATTTTAGGCAGTTTTGCAAGCGTTTATTTTCGATTGCATCTCCTTTATCCACATGCTGTTATTCAAACCGCCTCAATATATTAAGAATCGAAAAAAACTAAAAAATTTGTGCAAGAGGAATTGAACCTGCACCATCCTCGTTGAGAGCCTTCATGAAACCACTGATCCAACTAAAAATCATAAGCAAGTAATGAAAAATTTACGTGTTATTTAAAAAGTTTTTCTTTCATTTTCATTAGGCGGGCTCGATTCCCTCCTTGTGAAAAATGAGAGTAACTTTTTCTATCTTTCCTTTCAGTTTCATTAGGGTTTAGGCTCTTTTTTTTACCTTTTTTTCTATCTTTCATTTTCACTTTCTCTTGAAATTGAGAGCTCCCTTCTTATCGTTTGTAAATTTCTCTCTGTGGTCACCGGTGGTGAAGGACGTCAAGGTCACTGGTGGTGTTCCCAACAATATATATTTTCAAGACATTCTCACGGTAGCTCTCAAAGGTCACCGGTGGTGAAGGACGTCAAGGTCACTGGTGGTGTTCCCAACAATATATATTTTCAAGACATTCTCACGGTAGCTCTCAAAGGTCACCGGTGGTGAAGGGGTACTCAGGCACGGTTTTCCCAAAACTCAGGTGCCTTCATATTACTCGATTTAATTGTAGAGACTAGAGAATGCTTCGTTTTCATTTAATTTTTTTTTTTAATCTTTAAATGTGCCTTTTTAAAATGCTTTTTGTTTTTAATCTTTTCGTTCAGACACTGAAACTTGCTCGAAGAGTTGCTCGGCTGTGGACAGTAATCAGTTGAACTACTCAGGTGCCCTTTTGCATTCGAAGTCTTCTGCATTTTCTTTCTTTCTTTTTTTCCTTTTTCTCGTGGACTCTACTCATGCCTGTTCTATTGTTAACTTGCTTGATTTCATGATGAATGTGCACATTTCCTTGTGGTTGGATAGATATTCGGGGTCTTTAATTAAGACCAAATTAATAATATCTTTAGACGACTAGTGGTTTCCTTGTGAAACTCTGGTTCCTTTCTTTATGAATCCTATAGTATGATGATTTCGATTGCAGGACTATAAGCTGGAATAAAATGCCAATCAGAACATATTTTCGAACTACAATTTGACACTTAAGAATACTCATCGTGGATGATGCCTTCTTTTATTGTTATATATAAGCTAATCTTTTGGAAGTGTAATTAGAGTAGTATGAATTGTAAATCTT